AGATAACTTTTCACATATGAACAGTGCACAACTCTGCATATATTTTTTTGATATTTTACATATTTTTATAAGAATATTGTTGTTATGTGCCATGGAGTTAATTCTGAGTCATAAAGACCCTGTACAGGGTTTCCAAGGAGCATCTGGTGGGTTTGAACTGCCTACCTTGTGGTTCAAAGTCCAGTGCTGATCCTACAGTGCCACAGCAGGAGTCCGGCACTAGGCATATTTCACTGTGAAATAAATGAGAGAGGACGATACCTAGTTTCCACCAAACAAGTTCTCTGTAATTTAAGTCATGTTTAACTGTTGGGAAATATTTATGCTCACATGCTCCAGTACCTACAATAGATCTCACTTCTTAGAAACTTAGAGTTATGATGTCAGTAAATACAATCTCTTCATACTTTGAAATCTCATAGAATTAACAGTTTAACCTCATTGGCACTTAATATGTATTTTCCAATCAATGTGTCTGCCTTGTGTATAATGCACGCCTCTTCAACTAAATGGCAAGTTCCATGTATAAATCAGAACCAAGATACCAATTGGGAAAAACAGTGCAGTCAAAATACAGCAATTAAGTTTTTATGTTTGAAGGACCTATTTATCAATATGGAATTTACAAGGAATTCTACATCCACTTATAACTAGCAATAGTCAAACCCTTAACACCTGAAGTGATGTGGGACGTTAGCAGATGCTAGAAGCTAGAATGAGAGAACTTGTAGAATTTCCACATTAACAGAAATAGTGAGTTTTGATTAAAGGTTACAGTAAAAACCTTATGATTTTAACCAAAATGAAGGACAAGAAAATGAATTGCTTGCACTCATAATCTTCCCTCTGTCTGATTTGCCTGGAATTCACGTTGGTCACACTTAACCAATACCTGGATGTAATGTTGATGTAGAATATATAATCCTGCTTACTGTGAGAAGGGTGGAGAAAAGATTCTGAAGAGAAGCTGGAAGATACTGAGAACAAGAAAACCCTTGTACTCTTCAGCAGCTGCTTGTATTATTTGTCCAAATAAAAAGCTTGTGTCCCCAAAGAAGTACACACAAAGTCCCATCTGTAGTGTTTCACTGCATGGCTATGTCAGTCCATTATATGTCTCATGAAATTTAAAAAAAACTTTAGTCACTCCCTTACATTTTTTGAAATATAAGATTATGGGGACAATATAAGAAAATAAATAAGCTAGTCATGTGACCAACATTGGTAATCTTCAATTATTCTTTACTTTCTGACAGCATGTTGATGTAGTTATTATTGTTAAGCGCCATTGAGTTGGTCCTACTCATAGTGACCTTGTATAGGGTTTCCAAGTGAGCTTCAACAACTGACCTCATGATTCCAACCGACCTGGTGATCTAGTGCATTATCGTGCAGTGCCACATGCTAATTACCTGGTGCATCAATTGGAAACTGTATTCCTGACAAAATGTACTCCTTTGTTTTCTTGTTTTTATTAAGTTGCTATGCATTCAGTTTTCCATTGACCAATACTGTTGGGCAAAGGAATA